ACGGCTCTTCATCTCGCTATAGAACGTAATTGTCGGTCAGTGATCGCGTTCCTTCTTCAAGAATGTAGGCCTTGTTTAGATACACCAAATTATGCTGGAAAAACCGCATATCAAACAGCTCTGATCTATGATAATAAACTTGCAAGGGAATTAGTAAGACTGGGTGCAACACCGGAACCACTCTCTGAATCAGATTCAGATACCACTGATGAAGATGAAAGTTCTGCTAACAATTTATCTTAAAAAAAATGTAAGCGATATTAATGCGTCTATTAATCCTTTGACTAGCGTTTTAGCTTTGTCCGTTGTACGAGTATTTATATCTTTCGATTATTATGGATATATTGAATAGCCTCATTTCTGGCTACGCATTACAATACCGTATGTAGGATAGACGAAAATAATTCGCACTCCTAATTCAAATATTAATCATAATAAATCGAATAAGTTTTATTTAGTTAAAGTTAATTAGTAATAAAATGAATGTAAAATGTATCATAAAAACGAAAAAAAAAAACGAAAAATTATACGATAAAACGAGAGACGAACGAAGAGATAAATGTATCTTTTTTTATAAGAAGCAATGTCAATGCTTCATTAATACGAAAAATAATAATGAATACGATTATTGTTAAACAAATTAAATACAAAGAATTTACATTTACGCTTAGGAGACTGTAAGATCTCGTTTTGTAAATATAGAGAAAAATATAAAATATTTTTGTTGAGTGATATGAGAATGTATCAATGATATTAATATGTTTGAAAGTGTATTATGATAAGAGAAATCTGATAAAAAGAAGTAGAAAAAGTAGTACATAACAAAACATTTATAATTTTATTATTTGTTTTACAGTGTACATATATATATTTATATTAAGTAAATTAAGAAACAGAAATAACACTTATGAATAGGAATATTTATCAAAGATTGTATAAATAATTTACTCGCGTATTATTATATCAGAATTACGATATTTTATTGTAAACTTATTAATTTCATTTTTCTCTCCCGATTGTACATAGTCAAGTTTTATTAATATTGTAGACATATCGTTTTATAGTATCAGCAATAATAATACGACAACATTAATGTTGTTATAAGACGTCCATAATTATTCTTTTAATAATAAAAGACTTTAAAAAATTCACCATAAATTTTAAAACTTTTTTTATATTGACATATATGAATAGTGAAATTTTATTAGAAACATTAATATTTATAATTCGATTTAATTTATCAAGAAATAAGTGTAAATTTACGAAAGAGTAAAGAAAGACAAAGCATTTGTAAAAATATAGAGCAAGAACCGGCTGTTGGTTATTTTGAGTTTATAACGTGTAATGGTCTAGGCATTCTCAGAAGCCTATATACTTATTCCTTTTTGGGGGAGTTTGGTCTGTGAAGTGCACAGGTTCTAAGATATATTTAGACCTTGGAAAAGAGGGGATTCTATTAATCATCTTAATAGTCTTTCGACTGTAAGTAAGTAAAATAAAATTAAAAATTTAATAATCGAAATTATTATAACAATTATAATAATTAATTATTAAATTATTTTTTATTATTATTATAAAATATGATACTTTGATACTACTTTGATACTATGATTGACTCTGTAATGTAATATAAAAATATTCTTGGGTTATACGATCCAATATTAGTGAACAAAAAATAATTGTGAATATAATATTGCGGTTACCGAACTGGTTACGGGAAAAAAATGCAGCACGACAAATAGCTGGGATTCCCCAATTACTTCAGTTTGGTGATGGAAATACCAGATTCTGTGGTATGCCAAATCAAATAACCTTGAACATCAAAACATTTCAGCATTAAAGTTTATAATGCATCTATATTTACGAATTATTATTTATATAGAGATAAATTCACTTTTTACTCTTTCATATTTGGATTTTATTATTTGTTAATATATTTTTAATCTATTGTAGAATTATACATTTTTGTATAACATTTACAAAAATCAGAATATAATAGAGAAACTTTCTGTTTGAGAAATTTTTATCTTTTGATTCTTTTTTATACTTTTCATGAAGATTTCGAATGTATGATGCACGTGAAATGATTGCTTGAAAAAAAATGAGTCAAAAAAAAAGTAAAAATGAGAAAAATGCGAGCGAAAACATCTTTAATAAATAAATAAAAACTGAGTATAAGCAATTAGTAAACGAAAAAAATGTTTTTATAAAGTTAGAGTCCTTTTTTTGAGTTTTTCAGCATCTTTTTCAAAAGATTTAAATTAATCCTTACAAAATGAACTTGTCGAAAAGATATGTCCTTTGATTCGCGGAATGCCCGAACTCACTATAAATATATATATATAAATACTATATATATATAAATATAAATACTAAAAATATATCCCGCCAAAATATCATCTTAAATGGTTTACAGATATCAATATTACCAGCTATCGATAATATGTATGTGGCGCTATTATTGTAGGAAATGAAGATGGAAAATTTTTCATTAACTAGACAATATGGCGACTAATGTAATTCTTGAAATAAAATATATATGTTTTTAAACATTAATATAATCAATATAATTTTTACATGTATTTTTAATATTAAAATTCTAGTTTTTGGAAATTCTGGTTTAATTTATAAATTTTAACAATTTGTAAAAAAAAATTTTCAAAACCAAAGTTTTAATTTTTAACAGCTGCGTGATGTGATAGAACTCGTTTAATTAATTATTATTGTACAATTTAAATACTTATCTATATAAAGTCTATAATTATAATTTTTGTAAATACATATGTATATGTATTAAAATATAGTTGGTATGTTTAAAAATTAATATAATTGTGAATAAAACAATTTCTATAAAACTGATTCAATTCATCTCTTTTGAATCGATAAAATAGTGAAATAATCCATGCTGAAATACTCTATATCTTTATTATATCTTTATTTTTTTACTATTTGTTTTCCTTGTCTATATACAAATGTCAATTAAATATATTTTCATTATTTCTCTTTTAAGACTATAACGTATCGTAATATAATTTAATATAAAAAATATAAATATTACATTCTTAGTAATGTAAAATGATAATATATAAATGCATTTTGATGATAAAGATATATGATGCAAATATTTTGACAAAATGTATCATTCAACCTATAAAAATTAAAAAACTAAAAAGCTTAAAAATTTAGATTCTTTTCGATTTTATTATCTGATTAATAGTTAGATTTGTTCATCACTAGATGGTGCATCAATAACCATAAATTGTATAATTTTTAAAAGTTGCTTTTTTAATTCCATGAAAATTAACTTATTATGTAATTGCAGAAGTTTTTAAATAATTTTTATATAAAATGGTACTTTTAATTGTAAATTATTAATATAATCAATATTAAATTATCTATTATTATTTTAAATTTGTAAAAAATCAAATAAGATTATTATATTTAATCCAATTAGTCTCAATTTCTATTAGAAAATTTTTAAAATTTTCATATGAATATTTAAATTTTAATATACAGAGGTAATACTAATAATCACAATATTATGATACGATACTGCTGATTAGCTGAGTCGTTCTATTCTCTCTCTATCTCGTTTTATTTAGTATAAAATAAAATTGCCTATGATTTAAAAAATAAGTTTGAATTAAAATTTTTGCATCTCAATTTTTGTATTTATTTTAATATCTAGAATTAATTCTTTAAAGAGATCCTTTAAAATCTTTTATTTTTAAATAAGAACAACAATAATTGTAATATAATTATAATATTTATATAATTTATTTTAAATCGAATTCTGTTCATTATTTTATATTTTTTATATTTAATATTTAAAAATTATATAAATGTAATAAATCTTTTTTTTATTCTAGTTTTTAAATGTTATAAGATCAATTTGTTGGTACCTATTGTTAACTATATGTTGGTAGCCATGTTGATAACGTTGGCAATAACTTTAATACCGGTATAGAAGTAAAATTAATTGTAGAAACAAATATCGTTAAAGTAAAAAATCTTTTTATATTCATTTTATATTCATTTTTATTTTTATTTTAATATTAATTTTATAAAAAAAAATCATGAAATTTGAATAATTATAGTTTAATTGGTAGTTATATCTATTTAGTATATATGAATATTTACATATGATATATACACATACATGGATTGATCACAGCGCACTTGTCATACTATGGAACTAAACGTACATGAAACATCGAAATGTATATATGTATTATACATGAATATATCGCAGTATAACGATTTAGTTCCAATAGATGTTACAGATAGCGCTAGAGTCAATGCATTAACACTTCACAAGACAGATTGTTGGCCCCCGAGTCCGAAGTGAATCTATCGAAAAATTTTAAACAAGAGATCGAACGTGAAACAGTGTTGTGCGTATCTTTGTAAGTTTTTTGCGAAGAAAAGAGTGATAAAGATATTATTTCAAGAACAGGGCGCCTAAAAGTCAGGATACGAACCTGATCCATCTCAAGCGCGGTGAGCCGCCGCGCTGGTGGGCCTAGCAGACGACATGTTGGCTGCAGGGAGTACCTCGTCTCGGATGTTTTGGTCGCGAATTTCCTCGGGGATTCTTGAGTGAGGAGAGTGAGCGAACGCGGTGAAAGTAAGGTGAAAAGAAAATAAGACCACTCGAGGGTGTGTGCGAGAGAGGGCACACGGTTGGGTTCCCCGAGTGGTGGTTGTGCCGCGGTCGTCGACAAGAAGCTCGTGGAGAGGGGTAGAGACTAACGAGCGGCGGGGAGG